GACAAAATGATTATTTTAAGCATAGAAAGAAACGAAATGTTTTCCATCCTAAGTATTAATGTTGTTTTGCATATTTTTATCTCAAGTGCGGTATTCATTCTACTGAAAGAATCAAGCATTGAATGCAATGATTCACATTTAGCAGACACAGATGGCATTCCTTTCATATCTCCAGAAACTCTCAGAGAGAAATACGATTTGGGATATGCTCACTATACAACTTAAAGCATTGAATAATTTAGTGTTAGTAGAAATTTCATGAAGTCTTTTTTGCAATAACCAGGCACACTTCACCTCTCCCTCCCTCACCCCTTACTCCCTTTCCTTCCATTCAACCCACCTGATTAATTGCTAAAAATGATATATAAAGGGAAGGGCCATCAGAATAAATCCTCTCTTTTTCTTCTGGCTTTGTCATAGACAATGTGTCAGTCACTTGTGGTTAAAGATTACAATTTTATTACGTACTTTTACAAGGAAGTTTACAATTCCAGTTCCAGCAACTAAAATTTAGAACTTCCCCTGAAATGGTAGTATGCAGAAAATGTAATTTTGTGCTTAGAATCATTCTTTTCAAGCCCACAAATTTCATTTTCCTTTTGATAACTGGAGTCACAAAGCTCTTTTTTTGGTCTTGAGGCTCACCTGTTAACACCACTCAAAAGAACATTCAAGCTCACTCATACTTCCATGTGGATATACGATTGTACACTGCATGCTCGCTAATTATCATGAAAAATATCATTCTCCGTGTCCAGCTAGGCTTTCTGAAGCACACAAAATAAACCAACGAAAGAATACACACATTTGGGATGGAAGAGGTTTATTAGTCTAACCCTGCTAGTGCAGGATTTGCTTTGTCAGTTGGTTACTGTATTTTATAAAGAAACATCTCCTGCAAGGAGTTTTCCACCATTATTTCTCTGAGGAAACTTCCAAATTACTACAGAACTAACAGCAAAGACATTTCTTCTCATGTTTATCCTACATTTACCTATTTATTTTGATACTGTTACCCCAACTAACCAACCTTCATATCATTGAGGCTGTTTCCTTTTTGTATCATGCAAAACTAAAGCGAGCCTAGCTTTTCCAATAAAAAATAAATAAAAATCACTCATGGGACAGGTGATGTGAATGCTCCTTTCCAAACATTATGCCACTGCATCAATTCCTGGTATACTTGCAAACTGAATATTACATGCAAGCCTCATTGCCCTTTTCATAAAAAATCACATTCTTTACTCTAAGTATCTACAGAGACAGTCACAATGGATGACTCAGTCAAAAAGGATGAGTGAATGTATGGAGCAATTACTCCAAATAAGAAGGCACTGAAAGAGAGGGAGAGCCTGAAAAACAGACAGCAGAGATAAAAGGAGAGAGAGATCCAGACTCATGTTAATAAAAAAACTGAAAAGGTAACAGTTATATATTATTTCTTACTATATAAGGATATGGAAAACCTTACCCAACTGACTTAAAACAGAAGACAAACACATTAGAAGGTATGCTTTTCACATAGGACAAGTTATGGAATTCATTGCCATAAAACTTACAGATATGAAATATACCTGAGTCAAAAAGGCAGACAAATTAACAGGTGGCAGGTCACCGATTCCTATTACATACCATTTTTCTTACAACACACTCCTTAAGGCTTTGTAACTCACTGGCTGATTGTTAAATGCCAAGGAACATACCCTGTAAAGCAGTGCTTTATTCAGTTTCTTATGTTTTTCCTTAAGAATCTGCTTTGAGATTCTATCAGAGAGAGAACACTAAGGTGCATAAACCTGCTTCAATCTAATTTGCTATGGCTGTTTTATGGGAAACAAATGGAAAAGATGAGTTATCCATGTTGACTGCAGAATCAACAGAAGACTCTCAGAAGATGTTTAGTGTGCAGTTCTAACCAGATTATTATTATTTATTTTTTAAATCAAAGGTTAAAACAGTAATTCTAAGAGAAAAGATGCAATAAAGATATAGTTTGGACAAGATGGCATAAAGACAACTTAGAAAAGGCATCGTGAGGAAATAGCCTTATTTAACCATGAAATATTACATAAAGATTGAATAGACAAAATCACTATGATGCATGTGCTGACAAAGCTCCAATAATAAACAGCGTACAATGGATTAGATATTCTGTATTTAGTTAACTAATGCATATTAAATAACAGACAAAAAGTATGAAAGAGTAGATTCTCCAATATAGCACAAACATGACATCATACCTTACCTTATATAACCCTACTCCCTACAAAATATTTAACAGGTGCCAAAGTCTTTGCTAGAGGAGGTGTTAAATCTTAACTGTTAAATGCTGTTAACTGAAGTAGGTTATGAAGACAGCATTCCTTGAACTGATGTATACAACTGCCTTTTGAGAAATTATTTCTCCACACCTTCACAATAGCGAGGACGCGTATGGTCACAGCAAAAAGAGTCATGATTCTTTACCTGACAGGCGGATATCATATTGCTCAACTTGTAAAATGTTTATCAGCTGGTAGGACTGGGAACAGAACAACAATTTTACTGATGAACCAAGACGCCCAGTAAACCCAATAGACCAGTCTTGGTTTTTCATGGGTTATGTTTGTATCACACCAGGAAGAAAAGAGGCTTGAGCCTTATGTCCTCTTTTCCTGGTTAGACAGAGAAAGGGAAGCAGTCTCAGAAGCATGTTAAAAATGGTATAAATTGTGTTATTTTGAGGGTGTGACTATGCCTTAATATTTTATCAAGTACTCAGACAAGCCGTTCTCAATAAAATTTAAATGGGCTGATTACATACCACTAGGGTCCTTCATTTTAATCATCACAACGACACCATTTGGAAAAATAGCATTACTAAAGCAAACAAATTAAAAATAAAATAAATATTTAAAAAATCAGAAACTGTCCAAATACAGGATCAAGTAGTGATGGCCACTGTAAGTCAGCGAATGCTTCCACCTATTGTGAAAACAGAAATTTCTATTCATTGCTATTCCAAACTTCATCTGAGCATTTTTTTCTGTCAATTATGCCTTGATTCCAGACTATACTTGCAACATCATTTTGACTGTTCTTCATACTCTACTATCTTGACTACATTGTTCTCTTGCTGAAAAACAATCGAACACTCCTCCCACCCCCCTCCCCGAGAAAAAAAATACAGCACCCTAAAAGAAGGATTAAGAGAAGGAGAGAAGAAAAGAAAAGGGAAGGAAAGGTGCAAGAGCGGCCTTTAGCAGGAAGCCAAAGCATATACTTTAAACTTTTTCCAAACCGTCCAACTCCTGCTGAGTTACTGATGCAGACAAATGGGAGGTTTTGGATTACTGACTGCCTTTGGAGTGCCACTTCAATCACACCACACTGAAAATATTTGATAAATATGACTTTCAATAAAAGTTAGCAGAACATCATATGTTAAATCAGAATAAACCAGAATGACCTGTCACTATCGTTAATGGTTTCATCATGCATCACTCCCTTGATCAACAGTTGGTGAGGAAGTTAGAAAAAAAAAGATGAAGAAAGAAATGATAGTAGTTCTATGATCTGATTTTATGTCTTCAAAATCATGAATGATATACCCATACATGTACATGTATGTAAACTCAACGAAATCTCTGCAGAACAGAGTAGGAGCCTACCCCAAGCATCTGACTACCTGTTTTTAATAACAGCATTTATTTTATTTTACTAAGCTCAACTTTTGTTTGCTCACTTGTTTGACACTTTCTGCAGTGATTGTCATTTTGCACTCATGTATACCTGAAACTGCAAACCAACTGCTTTCAACTGTCTACAGGGAAGCAAGCTCTATAGTTAGCAAGATCTTATACAGCGATTAGAAGAATATCACCAACATTTCAACATTTTTAAGCATAGCTATAGGAGGCCCTAGATAAAGCATTCCTGCATGCCTCTCCTGGCTTTAGCTCTTAGCAGAACAGTTCAACTCATTTTTCCTAATATCTGTAAATAACTGCATACATAAAAGCTCAGCTCCCCTATTTATTCACTGTGAGGACAAAAACAATTTAACATCTACTTAAAAGCAAAACTAAGTAAAAGACACTCATACACTCCTCCAAATCCAGGCAAGACACCATGATTAAAGGAACAGGTTTCACAAGTACTGTGGCTATGCCTACTCTTGTTTGGTGAGCTCCTAGTAGCCCCCTAAGACTTGCATGTTAACTTTCATTAATTTGCTTAACTAAAGACAATTTTAACAAAGCCAGCACCCTTTCAGGCACTCTGCAAAAAGCTATTAAAAACTCAGGCGTCAAAAGATCCAAATTATGCTCTTAGAAAAAGCAAAATGTAGACCAATGTTTTGATTAATACTGAAGTTACATAAATATTCTATGCATTATAATATCATTAAAGAAAACATTTACGGGAAAAAAAACAACATCTCTGGTGTAAGTCTGTTCTTGGGAGCATTCACATAACCACAGTTTGCGGAAAACAAAGGTCTGCAAAAAATGATTTTGAGTTAAATGCAGGAGCCTTAATGAAAATACAATTTTGAAATTCAAACATTTTTCCAAATATACCTGCATTTAGGGACTACACTGCCTGAAATAATGCTATTTTTTCTGACCAACTCCAACTAATCAATGCAGCTCAGCAGCAGATACCAACTACTTATACACCAACACAAAGTTAGAAAAAAATCACACAAAGATATTTTGACATAACACATTTGGGACAAGTTTAACCTACTGAAAGGAAACCCAAGAGTGGTAGAGAGATACTGTATTTGCTACATACTGTATTAACTAAAAATCAATTTTTCAACCTTGTCAAATATTTTAAAATCAAATTACATTACTTACAGAGATCAAATAAACCCCATTTTCACGGCAATTTTATGGACTAATTTATTTCTCTCAAGAATTTGCAGAAAATTAACATGACCCAATACATAGAGTAGGGACATAAAGTGAAAGCCCTGTTAATAATCGAACTGTGAACATCGAGTGCATCGTTACCTTGGCAGGCAAAGCCTCTTTCTTCATAGCCAGCATTACACAAGCACTTCCCTATGGGCACTAGCCATTCTCCTTCTGTACTGCAGTACATCTTGGGTGGCTCTTCCTCCTTGGAATGGTTGACACAAGAACCCCGCACCTCCACCAGTGACTGGGAGTCCATGGGAACTGTATCTGGAAACACGGCGAGGTTCTTGACAGTGAAAGGGCACTTTTTGAAGTACACTCGCACCGAGACTAAGGCAACACACGCACCTACATCTTGAAAAGCCAAGTAAAAGCCTTTCCTACTAACAGGCCCCACCTCACGGACTTCTGTATTCAGCTTGAGAATTCGGTCCCCAAGATCCATTTGGGTGAAGCTCTCATCAGCTGCAATGGTGTCGATCTTTGTAAACTGATGTTCTCTGAACTTTACCGAATGGTCGTCATCAGATTCCATGTAATACAGATTGAAAGTCTCTTTGCAAGTGCCCAGAACTAGAGGAATACTATTGCAGTCCCTCAAGGTAAACTTGAGTTCCACATATATCTTCTGAGCTGAGTTGCGTGGAATCCAGTTTGTTCGCAGCCAATTGTTTTGACTGTGATCCATAACATTGCACACCTGGTAAGTTCTGATTGGAGTATAATGCTCATCAACACCACTGATCTCTTCCCACTGGAAGAAACAAACAAAAAACAGGAAAAAAAAGGAAATATCTTAAGTTTAATGAGCATACTAATAAAAATTCCATTTAGAGACAGAAGCTGTGAAAAAGCAATTCCAAACAGGTCTGATACCACTTTGGACATTACTATAAAATAGTCAGTAAAGTCTGGCCCACCTTGCACTTACTATTTTTCTATTAAAACATGTAAACATCTTCAATGAACATAGGATTCACTCGTAAGAAATCAGTTTCTACCAAGTTATTCCAAGGTGGCATGAAGGGTATGACAGCTGTTTTGCACTTACTGAAAACTGGTTTCTTAAACTAATGGTACATATTTACTATGCAATGCTTTCGATTGTGATCCCAATGTGTCTTTTCTACAACCACACTCACCTCAAACAGTAGAGGGTCCTCTCTAGAACACCACATTTACACTGCTAGAATCAAGTTGTACCTCAAAGACTCAAACAAGACTCAGAGTACAGACATAAAAAAAAAAAAAGCCACTGGCTCCTGCTGAAATTCCACATAAAATATAATTTTACATGCTTTAAATTTCCTCAAAGCGCGACAGTTGATTTTGCTCAAGATATGTATCTTCAAAACAAGTAGTCCAATTGAGCTCACTTTCCAGATTTACTAAAATTTACTATCAACTTAGTATCTCAGTTACTAAATTCTTGCGTATACTCTATAGGATATAATGCTAAAATAGATTTTGAAGAATATGTTGTCATTGTTTGGTTTGGAGGTGACAAACGTACTTGACCCAGATACTTGACCCAAGAAAACCAAGAATGGGTTTCCTATTTGTGAATGACTCATGGGCCAATCTCACCTGGATTCTGAAGTCAATTACAGGACAAGAATATTTGCCATTCACAGGAAAAAAAGAAATCCTATAGGGATACTTAAAAGTAAATATTTACCATTAAGACATTCACCATACACCACTGAGTGAATTCATATGCATCTTCCTTTGCTTTTTCCCCAAATGGATGACTATGATACCACTTGTTTGTTTGTTTTGTTTTCCAGGTCACAATTTTTCAACTTTTATCCACACAAAACCAGCAGCTGTTCTATATTCTGAGTCTTATAATACAAAATGAAGAAGCCTAACCACTAGAACTAAAATAATCCTTGCCATAAACATCACCTGTTACAGGATTACACCATCGTTTAGGTCAAAAGGGACCCCCATCCACCCCAACTCCCTGCTCAAGCAGGGTCAGCCAGAGCAGGTTGCTTAGGATCGTGTCCATTCAGGTTTTTGACCATCTGCAAGGTTGGGTACTCCACAAGTTCTACGGGCAGCCTGCACCAGTGTTCAGTTGTGTTCAGAGTACAAAAGTTTTTGCTTGTGCTTAAATTTCAGTTTGTACCCACTTCCTCTTGGCCTTCCACTGGGCACCAGAGCAAAGTGTGTTTCCATACTCTTCATGCACTGCCATCAGGTATTTATACACACTGTTAAGATTCCCCTGAGCCTCCTCATTGTCTTTCCTATGCTTCAAACTTAATTACAAAACAAAAAAGGCCAACTCCTATCGTGATAATGAAGTGTTTCCTAATAGAGCATATGCTAGCACAGCCTGTTTCCCTGTTACCCACAAACATAGCCTTTGCAAAATTTTATATACATATATATGTATGTATATGTATATATATAAAAACACCCACAAATGCTGTCCCACAGCAGTGACCAGATGCAGTGCACCTGGGGAGCAGTAGAGCATAAAATAGAGCTACTGCATGGTCCAAGTACAGGAGTACAAGTGAAGTAGATTGAAATAAGTACGTTACAAGAAATCACTGCCACCCTCAGAGAATAGAGAAAAAGAAAAATTTCTTCCAGGAAAGCATTTTCTCTCAAAAATCAAGTCACGTCGATGCTATATTGAAGATCTCAGTCCAAGAATTACTCATTTTACATAAGCACCTTTTGCTCAAGTGTCTTCAAATACTGCAGAGAAAACACTGGAAAAGGATTATTCCCACTTAGCAGACAATGCAGCTGAGGTGTAGAAACAGTAAGTGCCTTTATAGAGTCTTTGCTTTGCAAGACACATATTCCACCCTCCTCCCCTCTCTCTCTCACACATGGAAGAAGGGAAGAGAGAAAGAGGGGGGGGGGGGGGGGGGCAGCGAGAGGGAGAAACAGGAGTTGGCTGTATCACAGTAACATCTGAGAATACTCAGTCCCAACCCACTGACGCAGGGAAGTTTTGGTATGACTAAGAGCTGCTCTGCACAATGAAATTGTCCACACACCACTGACGATCTGATTTTAAATCATGTTATTAAACCAGTAGATAAAAGCAGTGTAAATACTCTTCCTTTAATTGAAACTAAGTTTATTTTAGTTCATTTTAAGGAACTGACTATACACAAGTTTTATCTCTTCCTGCCTGCTTCAGCAGAGCTAAAATCAAAGTCTTTGCATATGCACGTGGCAGCTGAAATGCTGCAGCAAGCCGTGCCACACTGCTCTGCCAGAGAGTTAGCAGTCCTGGGGCTTTGGGAGCCAAGGCTACTGCACCAGAGCCCGTGGCCACCAGAGAACTGGGTGTCCCACGGCAGCCCATCGTACAAGGACTTGCCCCCACCTGCATGAGAGGCAGCTGGACCCTTGCTCCCAGACTCAGCTCCCAAAACTCACCAGAGTACCTTCCTCTGATATCCATCCTTGTACTAGTAGTGTCCCTGAGCCAACAGGCTCTGTGCAACAAACCATTCAGGTGCCGTCATTGCCTCCCAGGAAGCTGGATATACCTACTTAACTACAGGTCTTATCTGGACAAATAAAAATTCAAAAATTAAACTACTAGATGAAACTTGGTAAGATTATGAAACAGCATGTTATTGATGTTTAAAGCAGCTCACAGTGATCCATAAGTGATCTACTTATTATCTCTTCCATAATATTTCTGATCAGTTCAACGTATTTTACACATCCAGTGGGAGATAGAAACAAAATCAGGAACTTGTAGCATTTAAAGCATCTCTACAGCAGATGTTATTTTTCTGCACAAATCTCACTAATTTTTGTTCATAACTTTCTTATCAGGCATGCGTACCCGGGCAAATGAATTGCATGATAAAGGTAACACCACATCTATGTTCTTCACCTACAAGTCCCAACAAGCAGTTATCACTTCATTAATTTGTAATGAAGACAGAATTGCTGGGAAACAATTGCCACCATGTCATTACCACTTGCATAAACAAGACTTGAAATCTATCATTTAATTCTCAAGTACTGCTAAACAGAAGGCACACTTGACCAAAATACTGTCACAAATCTATCAAGATTGCAGCTAATGCTTTAGAAAGAGCTAAGGTGAAAAGTAAGTCAGTGAAACTACAGAAATTGTTTCCAAATCAGAACATTTATCAGATTCACATAGGTTGATGACTTTGATAATTCTGGTAATGAAACTAAAGAAACAAGCAGGGTTTTTTTTTGTTTGTTTATTTTTTTACATTGTTCATACATAACTTTTCCCTGTAAGCTATCATAATGCCATCCCCAAGTGATTTTAATTCTAAACAGACTATGAGGCTTAACTGCTCTTCATGACCTTTTTTTGGATACTACCAACGGCAGCAAACAAGAGACTGCTTTCACCAGTAGAAAAAAAATAATATATATATATAATATATATTATAGATATATATCAATATATATATATATATGATATTCCCAGTAAATTCCCAGTAACTTGTGTGCTCAAGTCACACTGACTGACAAAGTTGAGACAGAATGGATTTTTATTTCTGGAACAGATATATTGCAGCAAATATATATTTTTTTGTTTGTTTGTGTGTGTGTCTGTGTTTTATTTTGTTAGTTTTGTTTTGTTTGTTTTTTTTTTCCTCTTCTCATTCCCTTATCTTTACAAAAGGGAATGTGGAGAAGTGGTTGTAGTGCATTTCCTAGGATTCCACAGTAAAACGTTCCTTGCAAATATAGGAACCTCAGGCACAAGTCCTCAATTCTTTCACTCCTCCTATGGAATACTTCAGTTTTTGTGGCCTTTACCCTTTATTATCAAAAATCTTAAGTTTATATTAAGAAACTGAGGTCTATTATGTGTTTTACAATTCAACTCATATGCCACTGCATGATTCCAATGAACTAAATCCTATCTTTCAGATCCTCATTGCTATAAATGACTATAAAACTCCCAAAAATGGTGTTTGAACATTTTTCAAGGCACCAACAGAATTCAGGCACCTATCTTCTCCCTGAGACTCCATTGATGTTCCCAGGCAACAGTCTAACAATATCTATCTACAATTTTATTTTACACCAAGAAATTTGGTATGATGTTATATTTGGTAAGATTGACAAGCACCATTTAGATACGTCCAACTGTTGTTAAACATTAAAAGTAATTCTGATTGTGGCTGGATTGGATGTACCTTGAACTATACAACCACTGTGTGCTCCAGAATACAGGTTGGGGGGACACTGCTGAGAAATCAGAACAAACGTGGTAACCTGGTGAAATGATTTCAAAACCTCAAAAAAAATCTTCATGTGCTAAGATGCCTCAGCTTTACTAAAAAGAGCAGTCAAACCATTGCTTGTTTCTAAATGAATAAAACGTGATATTTTTCTTGTCAGTGAAATTACTTTTTTTGCTATCTATGAGGTGTTCAGGTAAGCCACCATTCAAACCCCTACCCAAATCTTTTTTTGCTCAAATACTGAAAACTGACCCTGCTCTCATTTGCGGGCTCTTAGCATTCAGTACGATTTCTCAGCCAGCAAAAACACCATCTTTATTACACTTTGCTCAGCTATGACAGAAAAGTATGCCTTCCCGTGTACACACACTTTCTGCCTTCTGCTACTCATTCAAGCAATTCCCTTTCCAAACAAAAACATTATGATAGGAATCTCACGTTTCAGATAGTCAATGCATCCAACTTATTAACATTCCACTGACAAAATACCCACTAGCTCCTAATATCTTTTCTTATTTCTGCCTTTGGT